GCTGTTCTTTTCACCCTACACAACTGTCTTTTGTCGCTGATGTAATTTCCAGTCAAAACACAGTTCAACACTGCAGGATTTGGATTGCAGACCGGTCTAGATATTTAACCTACTAAATATCTCTCGGGCATGTGCTTCTCTTACATTGCGTCTTTGAAAATGTATATGAGCATACATAGACATGGATTCAAAGCGCCTGATGCCTGCTTTAGTGACACATCTCTTCATCTGTTACAGTCTTTTATCCGTACAGTTATGATCTTGTGTCTGAACCTCTATGGCTCACAGCCTGTCTGGAGTGTGTCAGTCTGTGATTAACTGTTTGGCCTTCAGGGGATGTTTGGACTCGTAATATCATGGCTGATGCCAGTCTGATATCATTGGTGGTGTCATTTATTTATTTACCAAGGAATAAGATGCAATGCACAGATTCATTAAAATACATCGAACATGAATGAAATGAATGATCCTTTTCAGTGTGGAAAAAAATCTTACTGCACTATGTGCTAGCTACTACTCTTATTTTAAGTTTGAATTGGTGCTGTCTAGTCCCAGCTGCTAAAGGCGATTAAATTCTCTTCAACCAGTATCAGCTCTCCATTGCCCTTGAACACAATAATAATCTGAGATATATAGGCCTGCTGTAAAGGGTATGCCAGACATGAGGTGAAAATCTTTGGAATTAGAGGATATTATTAGCCTAATATGATTTGCCTGTATTCGTATTATGACTGAATTAAGATCCTGTAAAATCTCGCCCACTGCCTGTATGCTTAATTTTCCATTTTTGTCTCATGAGCAATTATGCTTCCTTTGTCTTTCGTAAGTGCTTTAGGCACACTGGACCATATTTCCTAGAAAATTTTAATGACCTACATTTTCTAGATTGGGTGTGCAGTGTGACCCAAACCTTACAACTCAGTATATTCATCAAAGAAACCTTAAAAAAATAAGCAAACAAAAATATTAAGCAGCAATGGTTTTCAACACTGTATACAATAATATAAAATGTTATTTGAGCCAGCAAATCATCATATTAGAATTATTTCTGAAGGATCTTGTGACACCGAAGACTGGAGTAATGATGCTGAAAAGTTTAAAGATTTTAAAATGTATTAAAATAGAAAACAGTTATTTCAAATGAATAATTTCACATTATTACTGTTTTACTGTGTTTCTGGTGAAATAAATGCTTTTCAAAATCATAAACAAATCTTACCAACCCCAAACCTTTAAATGGTAGTGTATTTTTGGTACTTTAAAAATACTTTATATTTATTAAAAATTAAATAGCCATGTAGGCCTTAGTATGTATATTATTTTTAGATGACCAATTTAATTAAATACTTAATCTCATATTTACCTTTTTGTTTGGAACTTGAGTAACAAAAACAAAACAGTTTTATGCTATAAAAAAAAATGCATATAAAACAAATAATTCAGAATAATTTCTAAAAGAATGAGCCATGTTGGAAGCCAATAAAGTTGTCTGAGCCGAGCTCAGCCGACATATGGCTAAACTGCGTCTCTGGCGACCCGAGTTTGATTCCCGGCTCGAGGTCCTTTGCTGTCCTTTTCCTCTCTATCCACCCCGTGATTTCCTGTCTGATCTGTCCACAGTCCTATCCAATTAAGCCGTAAAAAGGACAAAAATATAACTCTAAAAAGAAGAATCCAATAAAGTCAATACAGTTATGCACTAGATAGTCTTGGTCAGTTATAGTTTATGTTTCTATCACAACTATGCTTTATAGTGTTTATCTGTTCTGCACTGCATTCTCTGGTTCTTGTGTTGGTGTGATTTGTTTATTTTAGGCAGGGCGAGTAATAATGTGATATTCACATGAGCCGATGGCAGTCCAGCACCACAAGACTCAAGTCTAGACATTTAAACCAAACACTGAGCAGGTTCTCCTTGACATGGTAAAATCATGACCATGACACAACACAATAAACACTTTTCCAGGGCATAGTTTAGGATTGAAGCCATACAAACTGTTAGTTTGGTTTCATTTTAGGTTAAATGGGTTGTGTAGAATAAAAATTAAAAAAAAAAAAGATTTCTAGACGAAAGGAAGAAAATAAGTGTTTATAAGTTATGAGTTATATAGTTATAAATAAATCTCCTTTGAAAAAAAAAAGAGAATGAGACTTAAATGAGGATTTGGGTAAAAAAATAAAATAAATAGAAAAAACATAAATATTGCTTAATTCAAATATATGGGATCACATACCTCTCACATTTTTGACAATTTTGAATGTGTCCATATTTGCGATGTAACTGCTAATATTTTTATTTTATTTTTTTTATTTTAATTTACTCGTTTCCCAATGCTCATGCAACCGGATTTTGGAGTAAAAAAAAAAATTTATAATATGCATTGAGTCACACACTTGTCCTGGGGTTGTGTGTGTTTGTGTGTCAGTATGAATTGTTTTGATTTCTAGGGACAGAGCTTGTCAATGTTAAAAGAAAGCTGGTTGACAGATGTGGTCAGAGGCCTTGTGTTGTGACTCTGCTCTTGTCTTGTCTTAACCAGGCGCGACATGAAAACTACGGCCAGAAGTTATTCAATTTCACAGAGAGTCGATAAACACCATTTTATGCAAATGCGGCGAGTACCAATAGGAGTAAAGACTCCTATTCTTTTGAGGTACTGTTGTGGCATGTAGGCAAGACAGAGAAGTAGGGATGCACTACATATATCGGCCACCATATCGGTATCGGATGATATATGTTAATTTTTTTAAAATGTTATCGTTATCTGCCCGATAAGAAAATTTGGCCGATATATTAAAGCCAATAAATAATGAATTTTTTCCTTGACCTTCAGCTGAGACACTTCACGGTTCGCCATGATTTTTTTTTAATTGCTTGAAATATGATTGGAATAACTTAAAAAAAGGAAAATACTGTTAAGCGCAACATGCATCATTATAATTGTGTGCTTGCAACATTTAATGCTTTTAATGGCGACTTTTGTTTTTGTAATCAGGATCTCAAAAATTATATAAAAATTTGGATTTAGATTTATCTGCCAATATATCGGTTATAGGCTTTCAAATATAAAGAATTATCGGTTATTGGTATCGGCCAAAATGTTCATATCGGTGCATCTCTACGGAGAAGTTAATGTTACTGTGAGCGATTTGCCTGTTCTGTATGTTTTTTTCTCTGTCGACACTTCTGATGAGATCTTCGGAGTACTCATACTTTTGCCCATCCCCACTAGTGGCCAAACATACTGCAAAAGTGTGAATGGGGCCTAAATAAATAAAAAAATCGGTCTGCATTTACTCATGTCCATATCATTCCAAACCTTTTTTCTGACTTTCTTCCCTCTGTGGAACACAAAATAAATCTGTTTTAAGAAATATCTTAAGTAACTGAAACAAAAATTAAGTAACTGAAAATATCTTATTTTGTGTTCCGCAGAAGAAAGTCAAACTATTTCGGTATAACATGAGGGTGTGTAAATGATGACATTTTTATGGGTGAACTATTATATATTAACTTGGAAGAAATATTATTTCTTATTTTATTGTCATGCCTAAGGTCACGTGCTACACACCGTCTCTCTGTACTCTATATGGGTGCAAATGCACCAATCGATATCTAAACTGTTCCTGTATTCTATTACCGTTTGAACCTCTTTCCCACTCTCTTTCTGTTGCTATGCTTTTTCTGCCTAGCAACAGTGCTTAGCTGTGGGCAAGCATGCTGCTGTTAGTATATGATTTCCTCTGTATAGGGATTTAGTGGTTGTGGATTGTGGCCGGTTGACATGTCTGAACCACAAACCTGTGTTTTAGCATTTGGACTTGGTTTGGGCATCACATTCAGTTATCTGTCTGCTGTATTACTTTTTGGCTTTAACAAAGCTTGTTCTGATTCTATGTTGTATGTCTAATACCAGTTTTCATCCAACCACTGCGAGGGGTTTTACTGGAAAGAGACAAAATTGGGGCAAATTTTTCATATGCAAATTCTCTTCCGCACCCACACAGAGATTCCTTAAAATTTTGAATTCTTTTTACACCAAGATTACAAGAGTAAAAAAATGACTCTATTTGTTAGTGCTTAGAGTGAGAGTATTTTAAAAATACAAAATAAAAGTTTGTCTTCTTTATAACTGTGACTGTTCATTTTTCCCACCAAGACCCACTTTCATTGTTTTTATTCTTTGTTCATTTTTTTTCCCACCAAGACCTACTTTCATTTTTTTCCTTCTTTTTTTATATTTGGAATTTGACATCTTGGCTTGTTTATAATGTGACTGAAGGCAGAGAAAAGAGGCGCCATAGCGCGGTGGGTGTGAGAGCAGATTAATGGTTGTTTACAGAGAGAGAAGGGATGGGGAGACCATCTTTCAGAGTTATGAGAGCGTTCTGGCTATAGGATAAGATTCCCATTTATCTTAGAAGGATGTGTCATAACATACTTGACTTAAGCATGACTGAGAGAGGGTCTTTTAGCCTAAAATAATCACATTAAGTGATGCATTTTCATATTTGTCGATTTCATTTGTTTCATCTGAAAGCCCTCCACCTCTGAGATTGTCCACAGGTCAGAAATGAACTCTTTATTTCATATTGGAAGGTGATGGTCATTACCACAGATGGTTCTTCAGTTATGAAAGAGACATTAAATCCCAGCCATCAGAACTGATGGTAATGGTCCACATCTTTTTGCGCAATCCATCTGGTTCAGTTTTGCAATTACACAAAACAGGGTAGTGTGCAATGTATTTCTCATTAGTGCCAGAGAAGTCTTATGTATACAGGATGTTATGTGTGGCTTAAAGCTGAAATGATGGATATTTCCTGTATGCTATTTATAGAGGTTTTAAACACCACAGCCAGTGAAACGATTGGTTCTTTAGCTCCTCTGTGTTCGGAGGGAAGTGTCTTCTGTGGGCTGATTGGAGGTTTACTGTGTGGACACTGTGTAATGACAACATGCTGGTCAAGTTTTGAAGTGTCTATTGTTTTGCCATCAGGTTTTAAATGAGGAATGTGACCAGAACTGGTACAAGGCAGAACTCAATGGAAAAGAAGGATTCATCCCTAAAAATTACATAGAAATGAAGCCACACCCGTAAGTATATGCTCTTTTTAGTCACCAAAAAGACCATCATTACAAGGGTTAGTTCAGCCGAAAATTAAAATTCTGTAATCAATTACTCACTCCTGTCATTCCATACCCATAAGACTTTTTTGTTCATTTTTGAAACACAAATAACCTGATTTCTGGCCGTCCATCGAATGTCCAAGCAAGTGAAACTTTGACGCTTCAACAACTTTATAAAGACATTGTAAAAGTAATCTATATGAATCCAGTGGTTTAATTCAAGTCTTCTGAAAAGACTCAATCATTTTATATGATGAACAGATTTAATAAAGATTTAACATTGATCAACGCCCATAAATTAAATATGGTAAACGGAAGCTCGTCCGCACTTTCTTAGCCAACAGGGTTTGTTCTGAGCTTCAGCGAGTACCAAAGAGGTTTGTTCTCATGCTTCAAACAAGACGTGTCAATGGTTTGGTTGAATGGACTTTCAATGTAGGGACAACAATCTCTTGGGTTTAATGAAAAATATTTTCAATTGTGTTTCAAATATGAATGGAAGTCTTTGAGGGTGAGCAAATGATGACAGAATTTTCATTTTTGGGTGAACTATCCCTTTAATTCATTGTTTATACGAAGAAAGACACATTAGTATATGTAGGAAAATAACACAATATATTTAAAATTACAATGTTGAATTTGATCTTTTGAAGGCCTTTAGTTGTTTCTTTTTTGTTCCGTCTGCTGAACTCAGCAGTTGAAAGTCTGCTCTTATTACATATTGTTAATGTAATGTCCAATTTAGTACTCTATATAGTATGAATCCATGCCTCTCTTATTAACAGCAACAGGCGCGACACAAGTGTTTTTGCTAGTTTCAGCCCGACGCAGTTATCATTTTCACGTCCTGCGCCACGTTGTTTAAATAGCAAATGCATTTGTGCCCATCTGTTTGCCCATGGGCGTGCTGGTCTGAAAATGAGGTGTGATCAGGTGCATTGTTGGCGGGTTGCTAATTTGAGGAAACAAGACTGCGCCATTAACTGCGCCATTAACTTTAGACCAGGTTTTTGTTGGTCAATGGCGACCTCTATTTCAGGTTTTGTTTTGTTATTTAAAGGGTGCATTAGTAATATGCGCCTATAGGCGGGTGCACAACGCGCATACACTCGCACAGCAGCAGCACACAAACATGCCAAATATTAAAAATAAAAGGATTACAATGTAAAAGATTATTATTGTTTACCTAAAAATATGGTGGAATCCGGCTTGTCCCGTAGATGGTCTGCTTGCCCGATTTAACCCTTGTGCACGAGCAGATGCGTTTCCTCTCTGGAGACGCGTTCAGTCTTTCCGCTTGCAAATTCCGGCATGTAAATAGCAATCCGCCATGGCGCGAGCGAAACTGGCTTTTAAAGGGAATGGGAGATGAGACTCTGATTGGTTTATTGCACATTACACCCAAAACACACCCATGACTCATTAAGAGAAAAGGGACAACCCTTTTAGACCATGCGCCGGTGGATTCGGACACACCCTAAGGGCCGTTGCGCCGTGCGCTTTAGACCATGAGCTTGGATCGTTAAAATAGGGCCTAAGATCTCTAATAAATACTTAAGTTAAACTTCTTTTTTCCTGTTCGTCGTGTAAACCTGTAGCCTGGTAATACCAGACTCTGCTACTTCACTTTGCTTCGTAGACAGAGTCTGGAATGGCATAATAGAGAAGTGTTTTCTCTCTCGCTAGGGGGCGCTTGTCTGAAGTTTAAAATCATTGGTTACCCGTAAGCCAATCAGATAAGTTTATATATGACGTGTGTTATGCACCGACACAGCCGCATCGAACCACAGACATCATGCATCGAACTCAAATCTATGATCGAACTTCCACTGTAAACCTGCTGTAAACACTTGATGATGCGAGCGAAATACCGGAGTGAACATGGCTGTAAACGACTTTTGCAGTTTATGCGAAGTTAATCTACACATCCACGGTACAATCAGAGCCTCTAAACTGATATTTGACAGTAGAGAGAAACAAAAAAATATTTGCAGCCAACTGTCAAAGTTAGGATTAGTTCTGTTAAACACAGCTCTTTGTTCATCTCGAGTCTGTCGGGAATGCTGCAATTTAATTGCAAGATTACAGCATGTCATGGCAATATTTAAGACCTGGAAAAGAAAGGAGACACTGACCTGTCAAAAAGCTCCCCAGTTTCTCGCTGACGATCGGTAATAGTTGATAAATTAAACTTTTCCCAAAGGGAGTAGGGCCACAACATCACCTCCATTCAAAATGTTTAATACACACTCTTCTTGTTCGGGCTTCAGTTTGCTAATGCCGGGAATATTCTCCACAACAGAGCGAATTGCATCCGCGTCTCCATATCCGCGGTCGTTTTCGATTTCCCTACCTAATCTTAAACTCGGCGCTTAGCGACTACGTCACGGCTTTCAGCCCGCCCTCTGTTCATTGATTGGCCGGCTGTTTTCAGGCCGGAGGAAAACGGATAGATAGGCCGCTGTCTCAGACTGAGTACAGAAGCGAAATGAAATTGAGCGGAAGTACGAAGTCTGACGTAGTCAGGCTAGTAAACCTGGACACTGCAGATGTTTTCTTTTATTATTATTCATTAAAGATGTGCTTCTCAATGTCATAGCTGCTTTGCAGAATCTCTCACTTCAAAACTCTTATATAGTGGAATGTCACCAGTACATTCTACAACATCTTAACCATTGCTTTTTGATTTGTTCTGAACACACAGCTGGTTTTATGGGAAGATTCCCCGTGCAAAAGCAGAAGAAATGTTAAATAAACAGAGACACGATGGAGCTTTTCTCATTAGGGAGAGTGAGAGTGCACCTGGAGACTTCTCACTGTCTGTCAAGTATGTGTATGTCATTCTATTCGATTCTATCCTACTCTATTTTATTTCTCTGTGCCAAATAACATTGCCAATTTGTATATGACTGTTCTGAAGTCCTAGTAATAAACACTTAGAAACAAAGGCTGCTGATTTTGAAATTTTGATGCAGTAATTGAATCTGTTCTTGTAAATAGGGGCATGTCAATGAATAATTGATGCAATGCAGCAAAAAATATAGCCGTTTCAGCACTTTATTTTTGTGTTCTTCTGAATTCTTTTGTGTGGTATCTAAACTAGGCCAACACTGAATCATTCAAACAGTTCTCCACAGATAGCTGCTGACATCAGGGTTCATGATACACTGAACAGTGCATAGTTTTTTTTTTTTATAATTATAGTTCCAATATCCAAGTGCTATAAATGCAGCTGGTTATGATGTAATTCTCTAAACACTTTGTTTTCCCATAGATTTGGGAATGATGTCCAGCATTTCAAAGTCTTACGGGACGGAGCAGGAAAATACTTCTTGTGGGTGGTCAAATTTAACTCGTTAAACTCTTTAGTAGATTATCATCGATCCACTTCTGTGTCCAGGAATCAGCCCATTTTCCTCAGGGACATTGAACAGGTACCACAGGTAGGACTGAATCAGTTCTGGAACATTCCACAAGTACTGTACGGTACACATTGATGTCTCATTTTTAAAGCATTAAATGCACAAATCCCATAGTTTTGTCTCACCTTTTCGACTAAAACCAACAAATAAATCATGCAACATTATAATTTTTATATAATCAATTAATTTTAAGTCAATTGTATTAAAAAGCAATTTTTAATTTTACCTAACAATCTTATATTTAGTTGTCACCCTGTTACTAGATGATTTTTCCCTTGTTTATTTTTTGTTCCGTCTGCTGAACTCAGCAGTTGAAAGTCTGCTCTTATTACATATTGTCAATGTAATGTCTAATTTAGTACTCTATATAGTATGAATCCATGCCTCTCTTATAACAGTAACAGGCGCGACACAAGTGTTTTTGCTAGTTTCAGCCCGACGCAGTTATCATTTTCACGGCCATTTCACCCTGTACAGTGTACCCCAAGACTGATTGCCCACTGAAGCTAAGCAGGCTTGAGCCTGGTCAGTACCTGGATGGGAGACCTCCTGGGAAAACTAGGTTGAGGTGTTAAACCGAGGTCCTGACTCTCTGTGGTCATTAAAAATCCCAGGATGTCCTTTGAAAAAAGAGTAGTGGTTTAACCCTGGCATCCGGGCCAAAATTGCCCATTGGCCTGTTCATCATCATGGCCTCCTAATCATCCATATACTGATTGGCTTCATCGCTCTGTCTCCTCTCCACCAATAAGCTGATGTGTGGTGGGCATTCTGGCGCAATATGGCTGCCGTCGCATCATCCAGGTGGATGCTGCACATTGGTGGTGGTTAAGGAGAGATCCCCTTCTTTGTAAAGGGCTTTTGAGTGCCAAGAAAAGCGCTATATAAATGTAACAAATTATTATTACTTAATTAAAACCAGCACTTTCCCTCAAAATTGTCGTGCTGACGCATTGTGCAATCATTCCACCCTGTTGCCCAAGTTATTTAAAGGGTCATGAATCCCTAAAACACAATTTTGAGGTGTTAACATATTTTTACAGGTTGCACATCAAACAAAAATAGCACTCATTATGTTTATTATTATGGTCTTACATGTATCGCATTACAGTGGAGAATTCAAATTTCATGAAAGGCTCTTCGTTCACCTCTGCCTCTTCAGCTTTGCGTTCGGACACGCAAAAGCAAGTGTATCATTACAGCAGCACAAAAGTGTTGTTTGCATTTTCCCAACAATGTGGTCAGAACTGGAGTTTGACTGCAAACACATGGGAAATATGATTGTAACAATATTTAATACGTAACAACAACATGCGGAGCGGGCATGAGAGGAGTTCCTGCTCAGAAAACTAACACTCGCAATGTGGATCACAGTTTATATCCAGACAGGAGCAAGCGCGTTTCTAGCTTTTATGGACATATTTAATATACTCTCGTGCTCCAAACATGAGCCAGCATTGCATATGTGCACATATTTCATGTCTTGTGAAATATATATGTGCAAATAAAGACACTGATAAAGACACTGATACAGCGGTACATCTGATCATGAACGCAATGACACAATGAATTAATCTGATACACAGAAGACAATGATGTAGACTGATAATTCAAAGAATGGAAAAAGAGAGACTGGTAATGGAATCTTAAACGTAATGAAAATATTATTGTTCCTCATTTTTCATATATACCAGTTGCTCTGCAAAGTTATAGCCTAATGCTGATTTATTGCTCTCTCTCTCTCTCTCTCTCTCTCTCTCTCTCTCTCTCTCTCTCTCTCTCTCTCTCTCTCTCTCTCTCTCTCTCTCTCTCTCTCTCTCTCTCTCTCTCTCTCTCTCTCTCTCTCTCTCTCTCTCTCTCTATATATATATATATAATCCTTCATTTCTTAACTGTCACTCCAATCTACAGTTATGATTGCAGTTATAACCAGACATTAGACCAGATTGAGTTTAAAGCAATGTCATAATGTAATAATTCTCAACATTTCTACTTCTGTTCCACAGCATTCCACATATGTTCAAGCTTTGTTTGACTTTGACCCTCAAGAGGATGGAGAGCTGGGTTTCAGGCGTGGAGATTTCATCCAGGTCCTGGACAACTCGGATCCTAATTGGTGGAAGGGGGCTTGTCACGGACAGACAGGAATGTTTCCTCGCAATTATGTCACGCCTGTCAATCAAAACATGTAACTTTCAGAGAAAATGTTTGCCTGCTTAAAGCACTTGTGGACTTCCAGCTGGGTTGCCACGGAAACCACAGAGGGGAGAGAAAAGGCTCAATTTGTGACATGGATGTCGATTGGCCGAAAAAAAGAGACTGTGCTGTTTGGAGTGGTTGACATTTTATGAAGCAATATTGGCTGTGTGAGAAGAATGTTCCGGACTGATATTTCGTTCGTGTACTGTGCATCACATCAGCTTAGCTTTATATGCAACTTTATTTCATGTTATATGACATCTGCTGTACTAAAAAAAAAAAAAAATGTATGTGAAGGAAAGTCTTATGCCACAAATAAGAGGTTGATATCACTCAGCACACCACTGTGTTACAGTTTTGCACCAGGATTCATTTTAAAGCACCATGTTATGTTTTTTTTATATTGTTAAAATGCATAGTGAGTTTTTCATTTTTGCTTTTTGTCTTTTGTCATGTTTTCATATGTAGTGTTGCCATGTTATTTGGTGTGGGATGATCAAGCATAATCTCATGCCATAGTAAAATTACATGTAGTCGTCTTGTTCTCTTAAAGGGACAGTTCACCCAAAAATGAAAATTCTTTATTTACCTACTCTCGTGTCGATGTGTCCAAATGTGTACAACTTTCTTCTGTAGAAGACATTTGTGCTCCACAGTAGAAAGTAAGTCATACAGGTTTGGAACGTCATAAAGGTGATGCCAGAATTGTTCTTTTTGGTTGAACTATCCCTTTAAATCAGTATAGCTTGAAAATAATGTAATGGTGCCAAAGCGTCTGTAGCAGATCAATTATCAGATGTAACAAATTTGGAGCATTTCATGAATCCCTTTAAAATGGCTCTTAATGTGATTCCATTTGGGAACTTTATAGAGTATGTTGGATACTTTGGATGATTCCTGTATAAATTACACAGAATAAAGATATTTCCAGTGAAACCAAATGCATTTTTTATTTTTTTATTTGATATATTGTATCTGCTTTATAGTGCCGTAGAATGATGCCATATGACTGTGGTGACAAAGGGCTGAACTTGCTCAGATTGATTACTAATAAGCATTTTTTTTTTTTTATATGAAAGTTTATTACCCCATTTTACAGGGGGCATTGAGTTCCTCCTTTTGAAGCTGCAGGCTGTTCACAGTGTCTGATGTCATTTGAGATTTCTCCTAAGTATTTTAATTTTTGTCATTATGTGGCCCAAGTTTAACTAAAAGATACACTAACATGTGTGCCACTTTTTGATGTTGAATTTTTTACCTTTCAAGTTTGATCGACTTTTAGCCCTTCAGTTCATTTCTATTTGTCAAGGTAATTTGTTCTCTTGGTAGCAACTTCAATTATTTTAGTAATGTTCAGTTGTGTCGCCCACCTAAATGAGACGTAAACTCAGCAAAAAAAAGTTCTTGAAAATGTCTGGGGGGACACATGGTTACATGTGGTTTGACACTGCGATAACTATCAGCTGTCCTTCCTGTCTCCCTGGCCTCCCTCTTCAAGTGATCGAGGACCCTGGACATCTTTCTTCTGGTGTTTTTCAGAGTCAGTAAATGGTCTCTTAAATGTCCTAAGTTATTGGAACTGTGACTTTAATTGTCTACCGACTGTAAACTGTTAATGTCTTAAGGACTGTTCCACAGGTGCATGTGCAATAGTTGTTTATGGTTCATTGAACAAGCATGAACATTGTTTTAGAAAAAAAAAATGATTATACAGTATCCTGAAAAGGGACTTTTTAGCTGAGTTTAATGTTTTAGGTTTATACTCAAATTCCTTCAGATGCAGTAAACCTCAACAATATAGATTAGATTAGATTCAACTTTATTGTCATTACACGAGTACAGCAGGTACAAGGCAATGAAATGCAGTTTAGGTCTAAAGTGCAAGTGCAGGATATACAATGGTTGCATAAGTGCCGGACATGGATATGTACTGAGTATATAGAGAGATGACAACTATAAACAGAAATTTTACAGATAGGTATGTACAATGAACATAATATACAAATGACTATTACTATAAACAGAATTTTACAGATACATATATACAATGATAAATTAGGCTAAGATGAGCAGTATAACAATGGATTTAAAGTAGTGCAAATAAAGTATGGACACAAGCTATCCGAGTAAAAGTGCAGTGAAAAGTAATTGCATATTACAGTTTAAATACGATATTGCAAAATGCATATATAAACAGTTGGTACTGTAAATAAACAGTCGGCAGTGCAATTGAGCATAACCTCTTTAAGGTAAAGTAGTGCAATATGCATAAGTAAACAGCATAAATGCACATAAAGCATCAGTTTGCTGTCTGAAAAGTGCAGTTCCATAATGCTGGTTTATGTACACCTGCACAATGCAGATTATGAGTGAAATTTCATAACACCCTGTAAGTCTTGCCTTTTATTTTGTGCGTTTTATTCTCAGTGATTTTGTCCTGGGTTCTGGGTAATTTACATTACAGATGTTAATTAAGTTGTGTATTATTAATAGTGTTTGCGATGCGTCATTTGGAGCTGGAGAGTAAAATGGTATGTGGTTGGAACATGAACTGTAATAAAAGAATAACCAATCATTCACATTTACCTTAATACATTAAGAATACACAACATAGCCTATCTGTCCTGTACACCAAGAAGAATAAAAAATATATATATTTAAAAAGCATGATGGTTGCACAACTTAACTTTAATCCATTCATTTCTAAAATGCCTTGTCCCGTGCAGGGTCACAGGGATACTGGGGCCAATAGAGTATTGGGCCATATACAGGGAAACAGGGTGGATGACCAGCAACTTTAATCTGAATTAGAAAATAATTAGGAATATTTTGAAACTTTGAATGTTTATTTTACCCTATAAATTACCTGCATGCTGCCACCTTTGCTCTTGGGAGCTCAGTTCTGGGCACATAAATGGCATGTGACTAATGTACTCTGGAGCTGCTGTAAAATTACGCCAACGGTGATTGGGTGATTTTGTCAAAATGCTAGTGGAGTTATTTTTTGGTAGACAATGGAAAAGAACCGCTAACTAGCCAAATCTTGGGACAGACAGGACTCTATAAATTTTCAGGTTAATCTTTAACTATCTGACAACTGCATAAAATAAGTATTTATGAGCAACATGTAAATACGTAAACACTCTTTTTTGTGGCATAAAATGCTCATGGCATTTTAATTTCCATTGTAATATTATTAAAATTCCGACAGATTTGTTTCACTTTTCACCATAAATGTCCATGGCGAGTGTTTTTGAATTACCATAATGTATTAAATGTGCTAAATAAACTTGCCTTGCCTAATGCGTACCGACAGGTAACAACCTCTACCTGTTTCTACTTGTTATTTGTCTCCCCCTAGTGACATCTTGGTAAATAAAGTATTTTCAGAACTGCAACCCAGATAACGAGTAATATTGTGGTAATTATTTAAATACTTTACAGAAACGGTGAAAATAACTCATAATACAAGAATATACATTAGTATATTTTAAGTGCATAATGATTAGATACTACGCCATGGTGATGCACATGAGTGTTGAACCCGGAAGTGTGTCCAAAAGCGCATGCGCACTGACCAGTCCACGCAATCAGGAAACAAACACGCGCGAGGATTCCGCATTTGAAGTAAGAGAGTGATATTGCAATACTTTTGATATACATTAATTTCTTAACGAATCTAGAATTTGTTCTGACTTGTAAACTACCAAACAATTCAGCACAGCGATGTCAACGAGATAAACAATGCACGCGAGCGATCCCTGTCATGTTCTGAATTGTTGTCATGCAATTCAATCGATTTTTATATACATTTGATAAATGAATGTTTTGTCTGTGGTCGTTCCGTTGTTTTGATTACCTTATATTATTGCTAAGTTCGAGCAGCATGGATTCCGCATGGACGGCTTTTGATACGGAAACTCAGACTATGCTGCAAACAGCAATGAACGGTATGTAAACTTTACCTGACTTCTCTGATAATCCATTTAAAATGATTTGGCTGGATTTTGAACAAGTGATTTTTTTCCTCACAGATCCAAAGAGAGTTGATATGGACAAGCTTTCTAACGCCATTGTAGAGCAGTCATTGAAAGACCTCTCGTTTTGTAAAGATGCTGGCCGCATGTGTTATACTGTAGTTGAGGTAAGCCTGTCTTATGTTGTTCATTAACTTGTGACCTTTAATATATCCCTAACACAAAGCTGTTTTCATGAACCAACAACTTGTTTTTGTCTGCAAAACACAGGATGAAATGAACCTCCTTTGAAGCCATGTATTTTGTTTTATTACATTGTGAATAAACTTTTATACTAAATAGGCAGAGGCCCGGAAAGCTGCATCCAGTTTATTCAGGCGAAAGCTGTTGAATCGTCTACAGCAAGAGTTCACTGCCAGGGAGGAGATTCGAAACCGCTCGGTGGACGAGTGGGTGTGTGTGGTCACGTTTATATGCAGCGTATTTGATTATATCAAGGTAAAATATCTCAGTTGCAAGTTGGCAGTTTTTAATTTGTATAGGATGGTCTGTTTTTCCTCAACCAGGTTTGACTATCTTGCTTGTTTTTAGGTAAACAATGCTCCTGTTGTGGCCCTTGTGGATCCAATATATGATTGCCTCTTTAGATTGGCTCAGCCAGATGCCTTGATGAATGAGGAAGAGGTAAAAGGTTTGGCTCATAAACATTTGAAGTAAATTTCATTTTGGCAAGGAATGTATAACTATCCGTCAACGTTTACGTTATAATTTTTGACTGTCTGCTGCATTGGTATCATAACCTTGTTTCAAATTAACAAGGAATGTCAGGATTGTAGGAATGTCAGAGGACAAAGTAGCTTTGTGCAATTTTGTGGAATATCCAAATTCCCAGTATTCATAAAACAGTAATAAAAAAAAAAACCCTGGATGATTTAAGGCCCTGACATACTCACTCTTTTTCGTTCTTCAAGGAAGTTCTAAAAACCTGAGTAACAATATACTGTTTTCAAACATTCAGATGCCGCCCACGCTGCAAACGTTGTTTAGATGAATATTTAAATATGTTTAAATATTTAAATATATGCTGTGTGCTATCCTCTCAATAATACAACAAAAATGACAGCGGTGAGAAGGGAGCAGTCAAGAAATCATCTGATCATAGGGTAGTAGATATGTTTACACCAGATCTCCACTTTGGCACAGCATTTATACACCGCTTTATACAATACACATTGGTTCAAAGCAGCTTAAGTATTGCCAAGTTCTTTAAATTCAGGAGTCGGTATTTAATTTGAAAGCAGCTCTCCAGTTTATTCTATCTGCCCTTGATGTAGCGAGTGAAGGAAGGAAGGAAGGAAGGAAGGAAGGAAGGAATGAATGAGAAGGTGAAGCCCCAGAGCACACCCACCTTTAATGCAATTGTTATGGACTAATGGTAGTTCAAATGTGTTTACAAGCCTGATCAAAGTTTTCCGAAATATACATTTAGTGGTCAAGTTGTAATGCATACTATAGCATCAATTGATTTTATAGGCAGTGTTTTCACCTTCACACATTATTACTGAATGCATTTGAGCTTTATTTATTGATTTATCGATTATATTTTTAAGGTGATTAATCTATTAACTCGATTAACAATTACTCAGTGACATCCCTATGCCGAATGTAGCATGTGATTGTGTTCATACTTTACAGAACATGCTACTTTTTAATGGTTGTGAAGTTTTTTAAATGTAGTACATACTCTGACAGTACATGATTTCTGAAGTTGCAAAACTCTATTTCTTTGGCCATTTGTAACAAATTTCAGCTTTGACTTACTTTAAATCCATGACAATTAAATCCAGGAATTTCTTTTGTGTTTCTAACAGGTGGACTGTCTGGTCTTACAGCTTCATCGTGTGGGCGAGCAACTGGAGCAAACAAACTCTCAGCGCATGAATCAGCTCTTTTACTTGCTGCGGGATGGTTTTCTCCTTCAGCAAGACCTCGGCTCCATGACAAGGCTCTTGCTGCTGGAGATCTTGGAGTTCAGGGCCAGTGGTTGGACCCTCACTGAAACTGCACACAAGTACTACTACAGTGAAGTAGCTGACTGAGGAGAGAATGAGGTTCCTTGTTCAGCATTTGGGTTTCAAGCGTTCAGTGTTCACAGAAGGCCTAAAGAGTACTTAATGGGAGAAAGAAGTGGAAACCCCATGTACTAGTACTGTGGAGCAGAATGGCAGAGCTCGTGTTCATGCATTTGCATGTGTTGTGTTCAGCGTTTGGGTTTAGCTCAGAATGGTCAGGATTTGTTCTATTTTGAGGTTAGTGTCTTAAATCTGCACTGGATGATTCCATGCAATAAGAAAAGCAATCGCTACCAGCCGCAAACCTGTGAGTCACCAGCAGTATACATGAATGGCAGTTGTCTTTTCTGTCTAGTTTTTTTTTATTATTATTATTTGTAGAAGTTTCATACAGTGAACACTTTGTTTGTATAGTTGCATTTTTTTTTTTTACAGTGAAGGGTTATTGCAATATCAGTGGAAGATGCTCTGACTTTTACCTGTGGTGTTAGCACATTAGGATGGATACCTTGTAAAAGTTTCTTAATTTTATAGTAATTTTAAAATGGCTTACATTGTTAAAGTTTCTGTTTGGGCTAATATGTATGAAAAAAATGTTCAGTCATGTTGGCTGCTCTTAAGTTTATTTTTTCAAAATTTGAGATTAATAGACTAAATAAAGTCTGCTGTTTTGAGTCTCTCTATCTCTATCTCTGAAAAAATAATAATAAATAAAAAATGATTATAATACAGAAGTCGAGTAACAACTGACCTAGAAATTGAAAAGTCTCTTGTCTCTCTTTAGCCAAGGTGTAGGCATGGCATTTCTTAAATTAAATTGATCTGGAATAGCTGGTTCAGAAAGTAAACTTTTTCACAAGTTTTACTAAATTGTAATTTAGTACTAAGTTACTTAAGAATGATTATAAATGGTGCCAGATTAGTATCAATCAGATATGACACTATCAGCACACTGACCCTAGTTGTAAAGATTTAGTTATAAAAAATCCCACAATATATATAATTTATACAAACGTACAAATACTAATTAAATTAAAATCCAACTTTAAAACTAGCGCTAAATATTTAACTTTCATTCAAATTAGAGCTTTACATGAAAATCAGAATTAACGTTACTCTGAACCCAAATATAATCAGAGTACTAGAGCGAATTGCTTGTGTTACTAATAACATCACTTGAAAACTTAGCTAAATCACAAACGCCCACAAGCCAAAATTTTAAATTCACAGACCTGGTACATCACGAGTAACTAAACTAATCAATTTGTTCTATCTAATTATTGTTTACCACAATGATATCTTATATCATGAAATAAATGGTTTGAAAACATTTGGTTACAGGACAGTGGGAGGTACATATTTGTGAACAGAATATTTCACCATTAATTATTTACACTAAAGAACTTCGCTTCCATTCGGAAGACCACAGGCCACTGATTCACACAGAGGCACGAGAATGTCAGTCACATGACGGGCTTGTTGTGTAGTTCCCTCTCGTCAGTTATGCATTTGTGTGATCATGGCGGATCCGGAAGGAGAGTCACTGGAGTCATGGCTAAGTGAGTATTCATGCTAATACATTATCAGAATATGGTTTAATTTTACTCAGTAGAGTCTTTAAGATACATAGAACAGCCATATCCGGATGCTGTTAGTGACCAGTTGTTTTCTCATGTCTTGGCGTGTCTGTGATATTTACACTGACATGTCATGAGGGTTGTTTGGACTGACCCATCCTAGCCAGCATTTTAGGGTATCGTTGATGCGTTTAAAATCGGCAGAATATTTGGTCCCAACGCATATGCCCCTAAATGTTTAGGTTTTGAGACACTTATGGCAGTTATGATTAGCAAACTCATTCACCTATCAATTAAACTCTTTTTGAACGGCTTTTGTCTAAACAGCTGTAACTTTGCACATCTTTATTGTTAGCTCTGAAACAGGTTCTGTTTTAAGTAGAAAACCAACCATTTTGTCTTGAACTTCCCACGTTGCATATAAAAGTGCCTTGCCTATAGTGATACTATATCTGCCTTTGAAGTTGTTTCATTATCGACGAACTTAGCAACACTGACACACAGTGAGCTGAATTGAATCAACACTAAACTAAATTGAGCTACATTTTGCTAAATTAAGTTGTTTTATTGTTTATTACTGTGAGGCTGCTTTAAAACGATTTTATATTGTATTAATGTGTATTTGTATTGTTATAAATGTGCCTTGATTTGGATAAAAGCTGTTTCTACTTGCATAAATGTATTATGATATTTGTTTTTTTAATGATTATGTCCATTTAAATGTTAAGCAGAACAAGAGTAAAAAATAAGAGTAATTCATTTCCATTCAAAAATATTGATATTAGTTTGATTTTTTCTTGTTAGACAAAGCCACCAATCCGTCAAACAGACAGGAGGAGTGGGAGTACATCATTGGGTTCTGTGACCAAATCAATAAGGAACTTGAAGGGTATGTTTTGTTTACCTTTCATGAAACGGTCTTTTTGAGCATCTGAGGCTGTGTTATAAAAGCATCTTATTATAATTCTTGACCTGAGATTTGAAAAAATTCTATTTGCAAAGGCAAAGTGAAATTACCATGGTTATAAATACACATGAAATTTGTCCCCCGGTTTACAGTCAGGAGAGGAGTCGACGTTAGTTGCAGAAAATCAGTGCCAGTCGTTTAATGTATGATGCCTGTTGTTTTCAAATCTGTTCTGATTTTCAAAAGTCGTGTACTTTGTTCCAGGCTTGAGCAGATAAGATAGGATTCTAAGTTAGGATGATTCTGTAATACAGCAACTGTAAAGTTTGTGTTTGTTCTTATGTATCACTGATTTGAGAATTGTGTAACTTGCAGCCCACAGATATCAGTCAGATTATTAGTACATAAAATCCAATCACCACAAGAATGGGAGTCATTACAAGCACTAACTGTGAGTTTATCTCCTTTAGTCTCTAAAATTGACCAAATATTGTATGTTTAATATAGTGACTGACTAACTAAATTCAGATTGTTCTTACAGGTTTTAGAAGCCTGCATGAAGAATTGTGGGAGGAGGTTTCATAATGAAGTTGGAAAATTTAGATTTTTAAATGAACTCATTAAAGTAGTTTCACCTAAGGTAAGTTAAAAGATTGTTTATACAAAAAAAGAAAATTCTGTCATCCTTTACCCACCTTCAAGTTATTCAAAACCTGCATGATTTTTTGTCCAAATTTTTAGGTACCATCCATTACAGACGCAATACCCCCATAATAACTTTGCCCTTTTATATCCTGCAGTATTTGGGAGACAGAGTATCTGAACAAGTGAAGACTAAAGTAATAGAGTTGCTCTACAGCTGGTCAGTTGCTTTACCAGATGAGGCAAAGATCACAGAGGCCTATCAGATGCTAAAGATGCAAGGTTCTTTCGTCACAAATATAAACATTTGCATTTATAAGAATCTCACCCACTTATTTTCTTTCTTCCAATTTTACTAGACTGTCTTGTTTAGTCTTTGTAACATTCTTTCTTAGGTATTGTAACAGAAGACCCAGAGGTTCCTGTGGACAAGACCCTCGTTCCCTCGCCAAAGCCCAATAATCCAGTGTTTGACAATGAGGAAAAGAGTAAGGTGAAGAAACACATTACAGTATTAGAACTTAAAGAAATATTCCAGGTTCAGTTCAATTTAGGCTCAATTGACCATATTTGTTGTATAATATTGATGATCAGAACAATTGTTTGTTTGTCTCTTATTTATATATAAAAAAGCAAAAGTTACAATGTCTAGGTTGATTGAGGACAATGGAAGTGAATGGAGCCAATCCATAATGTAAATGTAAAAATGCTCATTGTTTCAATTGTGTAGCACAAGATATAAAAACAAGTGTTAATATGATTTTAGTGTGATCAAATTACTTACTAACCTTTTCTGTGAGAAGTTACATCAAAGTTTATGAATTTGTTGGTGTGACTGACAACGTGCGACCTGTGCATACAAATTATGCATGGTTACAAAAAATCGGGCAGTACTATTCTGGTGGCAAAATTTGTGTCACTGTACGTGGGCCATCGCATACACATAAAAGCCGAGGTATACTTTGGCCTTTAAGGCCGTAAATCATAAAATGCTGATTTAAACAACTTGACAGCTCAAACTTTTTTTAACAGACCTTTTAACAAGAATCATTTGGAGTCCTTTTATGAAACTGTATGCTTTTAGTTCTCCTTTTAAGTTCAAATGCTGCTGACAGAGCGTTACTTGTATTGAACCTACAATATTCTTTTATGGGTAATTGTTTTGTAAAATTGTAAAGCATTGTCTATCTATAAACATTTCCTTGCAGCGTCTTGCGGAACTTCTTAAAAGTAAAAAGCCTGAAGATCTTCAAGAAGCCAACCGCATTATCAAGAGCATGGTCAAAGAGGTAAGTGCTTGAATTTTTTGTTAAAAAACAAAACAAATATTTCACTGACAAATAGTAAATCCTTCAAATATCGATGAAAAAAAGCAGGAGCCAGTTTTTTAGGAATGTACTATTTATATTCATGTTGTTGGCTTCATATGGCTTTGAAAAACACGTAAAAAAAAAAAAACCAATAACATTTTCTTTCCGTCATTTCATTTAATGTAAAAAGTATTTCTAAACATTATATAGTGTTTTGTTTTTGGAGATGCACCACATGACATTTTCATAAAATATCGTCATAAAAGGTAAAATGATCTGATATTTGAAGACTAATATGAATCTGATATTATTTGTTGATCTTGACACACAGCCGTGAGGGTCTACTATTATATAATTCCTATTTTAAGGGTTTTCTTCTCCACGTTGATTGCATGATTTTTAAGCAGGTTTAAACAGTTTTGTAAGAAATAATGGTAGCACTTTATTTTACAGTCCTGTTCCCCATGTACATACTATGTACTACTTATCGCTATTACAATAACTGGGTTATAACTAGGTACTAACCCTGAACCTACCCCTAAACCTAACTTTAACCCATGTAGTTACCTTATATTAACCAGTACTTTCTTAGGTAAGTACAGTTTAAGTACATGTAAGTGCACATACTGTAAAATAAAGTGCACCCGAAATAATAATAAAATATTATACCAAAAAGTATCAAAATGAATTTTGATTCAGAAATTAAAAGCATTCTCATGGTAGAAGTAGTGTATTCAAGTCATTAACATATGGGTCATTACCTTTACTCCCTTGATGGTTGTGCTTGCAAGAATTCATATGCATTTTTCAAATGGCTTACTGCCCTCTCATTTTGCTTTCAGGATGAGGCTATACAACAGAAAGCTTCCCATCGTGCCAGCACCCTAGAGGAGGTGAACAACAGTGTGAAGCTCCTAAATGAGATGCTAAGTCATTTCAAAAGAGATGAGTCGACACAAGCGGACAAAGAACTTCTAACGGTGAGCCCTTTTATATCCAGTCACTGCTAGACTTAGCTTGCATTTGTACGTAATTGACCCATGTGCAACTGTATGTTAATAGGATCTTTATAATGACTGTGACAAACTTCGAACCGCTGTCTTCAGACTCGCCACTGAGACAGAGGATGATGACAGTGCCTTAGGTAATACACATTAGTAAATAAAAACTCATTTAGGTCTTAAGCCAGTAATATATTAGAACCAAATAACTTCCTCTCCTTTACATGTACTTTGTGGTCTTTGGTGCAGGTGATATTTTACACGCTAGTGATGATCTCTCACGTGTAATCAACTCCTATAAAAAGATTGTTGAAGGACAGACCATTGTGATTGACATACCAGGTTCAACAGCCTCAAAACGTATGTATTATGTACCAGAATTGTTACAATTTACACATTGAAATGTTTTAAAAAAGATTTAGCATACTGTATCTGAATTATCCAAAGAGCTTTGCATGGTTTATGAAACTACAAATCTGAAAATGCAGTTCAATTGTTTTCTGTTTTTCTTAGACCCCAATGACGGAAGCTCTTCTGAGATTTTGATTGATTTGGCTGATTTGGACTTGGGGTCCCCTTCACCCCTCAAACATGTTTTGACTCCACCCCAGCACTCGGAGTCCCTTCCTACTGACCTCCTCACACTTGCCGCTCGGCCTTCCTCTTCCAACACGTCCTCTGGATCGTCGAGTTTCCAAATCAGTCCTCCATCAACCCAGCTTCCCAGCAGTCTTTCTCTTCTGGATGAAGAACTTGGTTCATTAGGTAAAGATGGCTTGAGAGTATTTTGCCGTGTATGATGGGTATTTTATTTGGAATGTATTTAACCCCTTAAACAAAAAAAATAGGTATCATTTTAAAGCTTAGAAACTCAGCTATTTAATGCTAATTTTGATCAACTCTTAACACGTGCTGAGTAGTCCCTCTAAAACCGAGTGTACTGCCCGCCACCTAGCTAGGAAAAAAATGATAATCATATTTTCTAAACTACTGCCTTGATCAACATAAAATCCTAATGCTGTTATTTGCTGATAAATAGAAAATAAATGTTTTCATAATTTATTAAATACTTTTTTTGTATTATGTACTGCAATATGTCAAAAACATCATACAGCTCAGGTATGATGTCATCTAAAAAGGTCTCACGGAGTAGAATACAAGCATAATTGTTTTAGGCTTTGACTAAACTTGAGCGAGTTTTTGTATTTGAAGACCCATTTGTAAATAATATACGGATGCGGCATTTGTCACGTTTTTGCTCGTAACTTCATGAAACATGCTCCGATTGTGGAAAATGGCACAGCATTATTTACACCAGATTCTAAATTAAAATCAACATAATCCATTGCGTTGATCACAAGATATTCCTCATAGAGGAACAATTTTAAAAATGCCCGTTAGGGGGCGTCAAGCACTAAGCAAGGCTACATTGGTTCCAAATGCTGTAACTTTTTTGAAAAATCATAAAAAATTTGATCCAGATGCAGCTCACATGTAGAGGAACTTAAAAAAGGATTTTCCTCCTACCTTATTTCCTTCCTGAGTTATTGCATGTCAAATAAGAAAGATATGTATTATCGTCAGTTTCTCAGCACGAGAATGTCCAAATGTAATTTATATTTTCTAAAAATGTAAAAAGTGTTCTATCAAACGATACCTACCTTTTGACTCTCCTTTCTATAGTTATGAGTCTTTACTTTTGTGTATGTCACTCTTTCCACATTAAGCAGCACAATATTTTTTTAATAATAAGAGGAAGAATAAAAAGAAGAAGAGAGAAAAGTTTCTTGAGCACCAAATCAGCATATTAGAATGATTTTGTTTGGATCATGTAACCTTGAAGAGTCATATGGCTGCTGAATATGAAGCTTTCCCCTTTTACAGGAAATCATTTTTCTTTTATTAAAACAGTTATTTTAAATTATAATAATAATTCTCAAATTAATGTTTTTTTTTATGTTTTTTACTGTCAAATAATCAATTTTTTATAATGAAATAAATACAACAAAAATCTTACTGACCTCAAACCTTTGAACGGGACTGTAAGTATTATGTATAATATAATATAATTTTCTATAAATAGGAGTCATCAATTTTAAGGCAATCTCCGTGTTTAACACTCTTGGTGTTAACTGACTATTTTTCAGGCCTTGGTAGTCTGGACTCAAAATCAAATAAGTCAGCAGAAAAGAATACAAAAGAAGCTCAAAGCAATCAGTGGATTTCTTCACAAGTAAGATCTAGCCTATATATAATTTTATTGTATAATGAATTTAAAATATGTGCCTAGAGAGTCTGTATTTTATGATGTTTGATATCTACCCATTAACTTTTTTTTTGTAATGACAGACTTCTAAACCAGTGATTGACCTCCTCTTCAGCTCTGCTCCAATAAATCCTCTAATCTCAACAGCGCCACCTACCTCTGAAGCTACCTCAGTCACAAGCTTTGAAAACTCCCTCCAGCAGAGCAGTAAAGACTTTGCCATGCTGGACGTGGACAAGGCTAATAGGTAGTGAGAGAATAAGTAGCAATTTCTTTTAAAAACAACAAAAAAACATATTTATTGCATATTAGAATTATTTCTGACAGATTATGTGACACTGAAGTAATGGCTGCTGAAAATGAAGCTTTGCAAATTATTGGGAATTTTGTTCCCCAAATATATTCTAGAGATGATTGATGCCATTGGTAAATGTTAGTTGTTTACAGATGAAGCAGTTTAATAATAGCATTAAAACAGGGAAGGAAGGAAAGGGGCAGAATGTGCACAACCTATTATTAGAGCCTTTTATTGTGATCAGAGAACTGCTTGTGAAGTGTCTCGTTCCTTTTAAATACAACTAATTGTTTGTTCTTTCTATATAAAGCAGCCAGTCCAAATATTCAAGCTCGGGCGGCAGAGAACTTAGAGCTTGGGAAGAGAACATCCATCCTGCATTAACCACATTCAGTTTTCCTGCTGGAATAACACCAGTGCCTTCTGCTGTATCCTCTGCCAAACCTCAGAGCTTCACCCCAGACAGCCCTCTCTTCAAATCCCTGTCTCCAACACTACCCACAAGTCACTCACCCTCAGGCTCGGACATCTCCCTAAACACTGTCTTTGTTCCACTGGAGGCCATTCAACCAAGTAAGGCCTATAAATGAATATGGATGCTGTGAGATCTACTGTATAGCAGTTATTCTAGACTTAATGACTTGCCTGTTTTGGTAAGGCTTAGAACTGTGTGTTTTTCCCTTTGTGTTTTCACAGGCAAGGAGGGTCCAGTGACAGCCTACGATAAGGATGGTGTTCGTGTGTTGTTGCACTTTGCTACTGACCATCCACCTGGTCGCCCTGATGTTCTGGTGATTGTGGTGTCCATGTTGAACACAGCACCACTGTTAGTGAGGAATGTAGTGCTTCAGGCAGCTGTGCCAAAGGTGAGAGGCACAACATGTCTTTTTAATATTCTTCTGAAGTATATGGAAGCTAAAAGTAGACAGTTATTGTTTTGTGATAGGCAACCATTTTTTACTTTATGGATTTTGCAGTTCTGAATAGCTTTTGGTTTCAGATGGTTTTGATTAATGAATTTTTTACTTTTACCTCTGTGATTTGTAATTGACAGTCTATGAGAGTGAAGCTGCAGCCCCCTTCTGGAACAGAAATGGTTCCCTTTACCCCCTTCATGCCCCCCAGTTCTATCACTCAGATCATGCTCCTGGCTAACCCACTGAAGGTGAAGAAAGACACACATACACATTTACTTGTCTATCTAAATAAGGACATTCCATACACTTATATCATTTTTATAAACGGATAGTTATAAATACTATAACTTAACCTTAAAGGGGTCATATAATGGTACATGCACTTTTTCAAGTTGATTGTACTGAAATGTGTGTTGGCAGTGCCTGTACACAACCATCATATAATGATAAAAATCTATCCAGTGTTTTTGTTTTAATCTCCTTATATGTTTTTCCCTGCCTCAAATCGAGACGCCCCTCCCACGATTGTTGATTGACAGCAGCGTTTCAACACAGACCCGCGCTGACCAAGCTGTCATCATAGTCCCCCATTGTTGATACGCTGGAGCAGAATGGCGTCTAAGCGGTTGTGGTGTTCTGTTCTTGGGCGTAATAACGAACAGTCATTTTGATGTTCCTAAATCCGAACCGCTGAAGACGCAGTGGCTGAGTTTTGTTTTCGAAGGGAATATTCCCCACGATCAACATCAATGCTTTCATGTTTTTGCGCGAATCATTTCTCACCAGACTGCTTTATAAACGAGGATCAGTATAAAGCTGGTTTTGCTAAGAAGCTGAAACTGAAAAAAGAATCAGTACCAACTATTCATGTTCCTGCTGCACATTAATCTTTGCAAATCGCTTGCACGCTTCACGATGAATGCGGCTAAGGTTTACACTCAGGGTACATTACGGCATGTTTCCTATGTACGGCGTTCTCAATATAATTCATAATCCCACAATATAATGAACAACGCGTTATGGTTATGTGTTATTACAAACTGAGTACGTATACATCAGTAAACACATAGCGTTCGTACATCTCACTAAGTTACTCTACCCTGCCAGTAAACAAAGATAGATCAAAGTGACATTATGTTAACCAACCATTCAGAAACGTCCTGTTCGAGCCTTAATTGTCAAACTTCTTTGCGGCCGTCATCTTGTTCCGGATCCGACTCCGGTTCAAACTGATACGGTTGCACAGATGTGTCCTCAGAGATTACCAATGCCATTCTTTCTCCAAAATATACCCTCAACTGTTGTCAAGGCAACAGTCCACATGCGTTGTGTCGAAAACGCCTGCAGTAAAGTGAGCGGAGTGGGCGGAGTGAGCGAAGCTCATTATCATTTAAAGGCATATGCACTAAAACAACGTGCTGAAAATAGAGCTGTTTTTGACCAGGTAAAATGGGTGATTTCTTACAATACTAACGAGAATTTGTAATGAAAAGTTTGTAATATACTTTAATTTAGACCCTAAAGAATCAAATTAACTTGTATGAAAATGGCATTATATGACCCCTTTAAAAGAAAATATTCTGCTTTTTATAAATAGACATCCTCAAAAGTTAGTTTTGTTAGATTAAGCTTTCTGCGTTACAAATAAAATGGGTTCTTCTCAAAATATTGCCTTTCTGACCTAGCAAGATTCAGTTTTAGTCATAAAGAACAATTTGACTTCTTTCCTTCATTTTTGAAATGAATAAATAAAATATAGTACTGTTTCACAGTCTGTTTCACAGACATGTTCAGTTTACTTTACTTATTTTGAATAAGTAATTATTTCACGACCGCTAAAACAAATCTTTATAGTATGAATGTGTGTAGTATGAATGTAATGTCAGTACCATGCTGTCAGTATCATGTGACCTACCAGCGTTAGTTGCGTGGCTTCACTGCCATTTATAAATCCTCTCTTGTGGCCTCATGGGATAGTAAAGTGTCCATCGGATGCACACTTCAGAATCCCGCCGGAAGTAGGTCATCCTGGTTCTTTTTGCCTACTCTTCTACGAGTACTGTGAATTCGGCCATACTCCTTTTGTCACCTACTCTTTTTGCCTACTATATAGTAAAGAGGAAAGTGATATCGGATGTAGCCTCTGTTTCCATGGTTCTTGATTTAATTACGCACCTAGTTCTGTTAATTACCATTCCCTTGTGTATTTTCTGTGTAAGTTCTGTCGATTCTTGATTGGGTGTTAATCTTCTATGATTTACGCAATTTCTGCTTCTCCTATGTTGTTCCTGTGATCCCCTGAGTATTTTGCATTGTGAATAAAGACGGTCTTTTTGTGTCCTCTTCGTCAATAACTAGGATTACTAGTTAATAACTAGGACAAGGGATTTTGTTGTTTTTTGTTGTTTTTTTATTGTACAAAACAATATAGTCACACCATTTTGTATCGCTGAAAACAGCTTATGTTATAGAATGCTTTTATATGGAACTTCTTGAATATTTGAAATGTTTCATCACTGAAAAGTCAATTGTCATGTTTGTCACCATATTTTGAGAATGACTACATTGCTAATCCCTGCAATATTAGTTATTGGATTGTGTTCTACTAAAAATAAATTATTAATGTTTATATGATAAAATTTCTATGATAAACTCAATGACTGTGTAAATAATTATACTTGTGTTTTGCAGGAGAAAGTGAGAATGAGGTACAAGCTGACATTCATCCTTGGAGATCGACAGGTCACGGAGTCTGGAGAGATAGACAAGTTCCCTCCAGTAGAAAGATGGGGTCATTTATAGCTGTGTACGCACTGTTACTCATGAAGAGAAATGGAAAACACAGTGAGCATCAATGAGTCTTCGACAGTGTCTGAAAGATATGTTATGTCCAGGACTTTACCTTTGACACACTGGATGTTACATTTATAAATCCCAATCTTTGAGTAATCCCCCAGATGTCTTGATATGCTGGTCTTAGGTACTCATTAGGTTCTGTTGTCATTAACATAAGCATGTTGCTTATAGTAATGGGTAATTTTATTGTTAGCCACCACTTGACAAATCAGCTCATGCAGATCACTGGACAGGTTACAATTTTTCTATCCTTTTATCTCTGTTCCGTGATGTGATGCACCAGTTGTGTTAGTGCTTATGTGAATTTTATTGATGTTATTTCCGAGTTTTACATATTTATTTCATTACTATTTATCAGATTCTTGGTGTTTGACATGGCTGGCCTCACTGGTTTAAAGCCAAGTTTACTTTGTCTTGTGTCATTTAGCAGAAACTCAGTAGATGACAGTAATTCACACAGGGAAGTGTGGAGGGGAAAAGAGTATGCAAAGCATACTTTGACTTCTGTGTTTTTGGATGTAAAGTTTCACTTTGTTTCCTTTCTTACACAACTGGAAGGAATTGCCTATATGCAGAGTTGTCCGATGTTCTTAATTTTTGTGTGTGTAATTGGACAGGAGGCTGGTTTTTATTTTTTACATTACATGTTTTACACTTCATTTTAGGGTTATTACATATGCAATTATTTATATTATAAAATTTGACTTTTAGAAGATGTGTTTGCGACTTTTGTATGGCTTCTTCTTTTTTTTTTTTTTACAGCAGATGCCTCAGTATTATTTTATTGTAGCCTACTGGATGTGTCCAGCAGCCTACTCTAATGATTATTAATTTGACTTGTAAGTTATTTTGAAGAAGAGCTTCACAAATATTACAATGATACTGTTCTTTTTAGACTCAGTTAAATCTAAAATTGAACATTATGTATACTGTTTTAAAGACAAATAAATATATTGTTTTGAACAATGTGGTAGGCTATGCTATGTCTATCAGTATTGGTTGCTGGTTTTGTCAAATCATTCACACTTAGTTTTTAAATGCAGCTGGGGATATTCCTGATTTTGTCAAATTAAGGGGAGGATGAGGGTAATGGGATTCCGGAAGTGGTCGCATTTAAATGTCGTCATTTCCGGCGGCATTACGCGCTTTCGTCAGAGGCAGAGGCAGTCATGGCAGACGAGAAGCCAAAGGTGCGTGTGCAGGGCTCTTTATAAATGTTCTTATAAGCACGACAATTCTTTGTTATAAGATTAATGGGGAATTTTTAGAGTTTATTCTACTCTCATTTATTGTTAATTTATTCAGTTTCTTTGTGAAATGGTGATGGTATTCCGTAAAGCTAACGCGCTAATTATCCAGTTCGCTAATGTGCCTCGCACCTCATCCAACACTGCAAGTAAGTTGGTAAGACAAAACGTATAGTAACGTTAAGCACTGTAACGTTATTTTGGAAGCGCACAGTGTCCACTGCAGTTTCTCGCGAGCTCACTGACTTCGCGCGCAAAGCTCTTGACCCGCGAATTGGTAACGTTACCGTCAGTGCAGACTTGCAGCGTGGGTTTAAAAAACGCATTGTTGGAGTCCTATTTGTGCATTTAATCATGTATCGACAGACTTTTATTTTTTGAAAATAACTTTTAAAAAAGTCGTGTGTTGTGCGTGTCACATTGGAAATGTGAGCTTCTCAAACCTGTACAGGGGAGCCCCAGCCACTGCACATTTTCCATGTTGACCACATTTAAATCAATTTATCAGTTCAGTTCAGTAGTAAGTTAGAGACTAGATACTTGAATGAAGTGTGCAATGGTGGGTGGGGGTCCCTAAGACATGTTTGCGAAGCACTGCTCTACACATCACTTAATTTAAAATCTGTAAGTTACTAAAAGAAAATGGCCACGTTGTCTGTAGTGTGGTGTCACATTTGTTTTGTTTTATTGCTGTTCTGTTGTTCAATGCATCAACCCTCGGTTCTCTCAGATAAAGCTTAAAGGGACATTGTGTAGGAATTTATCCCATCTAGCGGTGGAATTGTTTTTTTTTTTTATTCAAACGAATTGTGCTCTCCAGCGCCTCGCTTTTTCAAATGCGTGTTGCATCTACGGTAGCCGTTATGTACCAAAGAGCTATGACAGGATGTCTTCTAATAGCACTTTGTCGAGTTTTCCTTCGGCTGAACCGGTTGCAAAAACAATCATATGCTCTATTAAAATATATTCTTATCGAATTTCTAGGTTACAAAAAGTAAACTTACAAACCTTGTTTTTAGCGCCTTCTCTACATAGCTGCTATTCATCAAAGAGCCTGTTTAACTTTTAACTATAAATGTTCTACTGTCTATATAATAAAGTACACAACCAACCAAGCAATGAAAAAAGCTTGTAATTAAGACTGTAACATTGACTTACCTGTCAAGAAGAAAGCTGGACTTCAGCGTCTCTTTTGAAATCTTTCCACCTGGAAAAAGCTATCCCGACATTGTTTTTTGTTATTGCCGGGGCAGTGACAAGCGCCTCTCACTGCTGCTCCTCCGTTTCTGCTGCTTTCAATTACGTGACATGTTCAGGCTGTTTTAACTGAAAGCAACTTAAAATACTCGTATCTTAAAGTCCCCATGAATTCAAAATTGACCCAGAGCTCCAGACTAACTTTTCCACTGGTTGCCCTGGTGCTACCAACTTTCTCAGTTGGTCGCACCAGCATATGATTTGGTCGCACCTTTTTTTTTTTTTTTTTTTTGCTACATGTCATGAGATTGATCAATGCATGCTGATGAATAGTGGTTTTAATGGACCAAGGCTAGCAAAGGCTTTCTGGGTTGCAGCAGAAATACCTGTAATATATTAATTATCATTGCCAAATTTCAGGATTTTCATGGATATTGGACAGTAATTTTAATCTGTAATTTTAAGCATTTTACATTTGAATTATATACAATTTATCTATTTACATTTGAATCATATTCTATCTATCTATCTTTCTATCTTTTAAAAATCATTAAACATTCAAATGCATGCATTACATTTTAAAAGATTAGAGTATTATAATAAACTGATACAGATTTTTCGTTATCAAAGTTTATAGTTGTAACAAAAAGCAGAAATCTCACACTCCTTACCTTCTGCATTTTATAAAAAATTCCTTTTCCTCTGTCGAGCGATCATGAGAGTAATCGCTCGACAGAGGAAAATATAACCGCTGAAAAGACGTAGGAGGAAGGGGCTCTGTGTTTCGTGAGACCATTTTTATCATTTTTATATGCCTTAATTCGTAAATTCGTAATTGGGGCGTTTCACCATCAGTGTGCAATGCGCGTGACGTCTACGTTCGTCAATAAATAAACTGCACGTGTCTTGCCGAAGAACATTGTAGACGGAACTTCTCTCCGTTAATGTCTATGGCGAGTCACGCAGGCACTGGGCAACTCCGCAGCCGAGACGACCCCGGGATAAAATAGTCCGAATATAAACACTTATTATAGGCGTACCGTAGTGATTCAGAATAAGTCAAAAACACGGTTTGGAAAATGGATTCATGATGTAGCCTACTCGTTCATTTTGAACATAAGTTACGGACTGCAGCAGCTGATACAACGGCGTTCTGTTGCTCAAGCGTCCACTCGCACAAATGCGACCACATAACATTTTAACTCGCACATTCTCAAAAAATGGTCGCATATGCGACCAATTTGGTCGCAGTCTGGAACCCTGTGACCATACTTTGTTTGCCTAAATTGATCGTTTTGTGGTGAACAATTCATCCATGCAAGTCAATCCACACAAAAAAATGTTTGGGCTTCGTAATCTTTAAAGGGGGGGTGAAGCACTCAGTTTCACTCAATCTCATGTTAATCTTGAGTACCTATAGAGTAGTATTGCATCCTTCATATCTCCAAAAAGTCTTTAGTTATATTATATTTATAAAAGAAAGATAGGCTGTACCGAGTCTTTGCGGAAAAACCCGAGCGGGTGGAGGCGTGCCGTGTGGGCGGAGCTAAATAATCACGACACGAGCGCGCGAAGCTTTTGCGTTGAGAGCGTCTGGAAGCTGTGAGTGACATCCAAAAATAAACCATAGCTAATAATTAGATAGTAATCCCATGCAGAACAAGGATCTAAACAATACTAAGGGCTCGTTCATACAGAACGCGTTTTTGCTCACAAAAACGTGAGATGGGCAGTGAAATGGGTGAAAAACATAAGGTCTCGAGCGTTTTTTTAAAAATAGAAATGATTTGAACTTGAGCGCAGTGTTTTTAGAACACCAGGTCATGCGCGAGTTTTACAACATTTGTGTGTTGTAAACAGACAGACTCGTGGTTTATGAGGACATGATTTACCGTATTTTCCGCACTATACGGCGCACCGGATTATAAGGCGCACCTTCAATGAATGACCTATTTTAGAAAATTTTTCATATATAGGGCGCACCGGATTCTAAGGCGCATAAGATACTGCAGTCAAACGTTTGACTGGGTTTGCGTTATGCATCCACTAGATGTCAACAAATGTCAACAAAACAGTCCGATAAAGTCAAACTTCATTAAGCGTTCTGACAACTCCGTTCACTCCCATGGTAACGTTGTTCAAACGTTAAAGGAAAACTCCGGTCAATTTTAACATTGAGCTCATTTTTTGTAAATTTGGAGTGCTGTCAGTACAGATAACAACGACAAAAACCGGTGTTGCCTACACCGTGTTATCCTCTTTTTAAAATTTGCACCCTGTTGACTTAAACGGGACCAGTTTTAAACCTGCTTTTAGCCTCTTAACAACCTTAATGTGTCATTACAAGTGCACAGCCATGTGAGTGAACACGGTGAATCTGACTGCACATACCCGTATTTTCTTCCTGTTTTCGGTCGAAGTCCACAGTAGGCGATTGTCGAGTGCGCGCGCGATCATTGGTAACTAAGCAACAGTGGAGACTCAGACTGTCAGCTGTCAGCCGATGACGGTGTCGGTGCTGTGTGGTGTTCTGAGAATATCAGCTCAAATGGATAGTTCATCCGAATCAGATGTTGAACACACGGAGGAGGTTTGATCGCGCGCGCGAACTCGACAATCAACTACTGTGGACTTCGGCCGAAAACAGGAAGTAAATACGGGTAACTTATGTGAGCTGGCTGAATAAAGAGATTATTCCTGCCTTCGTGAAAGCTCGGATCACAGTTGAGACTGATATATCAGCCCAGGCATCCACGATCCATTGGCAGATAGTGGCGTGAGTCGCCCGGCGCTGTCTCCCCATCTTGGTGAACGTGTGTTCACCATCCATATATAAGGGCGCTCCGGATTATAAGGCGCACTGTCGGTTTTTGAGAAAATTAAAGGCTTTTAAGTGCGCCTTATAGTGCGGAAAATACGGTATTTTTACAATAAACAAACTGACACCTACAGTGGCCAGCTAAACAAATGTATTTAAACACACACACACCATACATCGCATGCTCCATAGATACATTAACTGTATGTGATCATGTTGTTTACTTGCTGTGCTTACACGCCGATAGTTAACAACTCAGACATTTGAAGCAGGTTTACTCACCGCCTGAGGTTCCAACGCACGACCGTGAACCTTTATCGTTGGGACGGCTCCATCTTTAAGTATTAGGCGATCTGCAAATCCAGCGTTGAACTGGGCCTTGTTTATAAAACTATTACCATCGAAATGAAGGGAACAAACAAAAACACTTGCACAACTCAGTTGCTGCTCTGGAAA